CATCAGTACTATACCATACCATATATCTAAACGTAACACATCAGTACTATACCATACCATATATCTAAACGTAACACATCAGTACCATACCATACCATATATCTAAACGTAACACATCAGTACCATACCATACCATATATCTAAACGTAACACATCAGTACTATACCATACCATATATCTAAACGTAACACATCAGTACCATACCATACCATATATCTAAACGTAACACATCAGTACCATACCATACCATATATCTAAACGTAACACATCAGTACCATACCTTGCGCTGCTGGCGTTGTTTCTTTCTTATTGTTTTTATTTTTGACGCACGAGAGCGACCCTCCCATGTTGCTGGATATCCTCACCAGAGTCTCGTATGTATTGGCACAGACAGTCACAGAAACACAGACGGAAGGAAAATATCTCCACTACCGGACACACACACACACACAGAACGAATCACTTTGAAACAAGTCCCAGGAAGGCAATCATACAGTCGAGATCTCCATGTCGAAAGCAATCCAAATCCCAAAAGTCTTTTTAACTCTTCACGGAATTCACGTACAAATAAGAATACTAATGATAACAAGTTTGTGTTTTCAGGCCCACGCCTCTTACTATTTCATTTCGTTAAACCATTTTCAGTTTCTCTTTCGAGCAGCTCCTTTGCACAATCACCACAGTACTTCTGTCTAGAATACAAGTATAAAAAAAAATTCTTGGAATAACCAAACCAAATCAAAACAAAACAAACAAGATGATGACGATGATGATGATGACGATGATGATGATGATGATGATGATAATGATGATGACGACGACGACGATGAGTAATGATTACGATAACAATAACAAGAAGAATAACAATAATTACAACAACAACAACAAAAATAACGTCAACAACAATAGTAGTAATATTAAAGATAATCATAATCATAATAAATATGTTAGAACAATAGTAACAACAACAATAACGGCAAAGACAACGACTACATTGTTGTGTCGACGATACTCCTCCTAATGAAGACGAGCTACACAACAAAAGAGAGACTCTTCTATATTACTTCTCCCTTTGTGCATGGCTACAGTTGAAAGGAAGGCGACACTCTGTCCACTTTCCCGACAAGGACACATAATATTTTAATTCCTCGAGAGACGAGACGAGACGAGAGATGTATACACACACACACACACACACACACACACACACACACACACACACACACACA